TTTTAATGATTATAGTTTCATTTTTTATGCTTATTTATCTGATGAATTTATTTATTGGAATCCTTAGTAATTTAATTGGCGATGTAGATAATTATACTGCTTATTTGGCTTTAAAAAGCGAGGTATTTCTTAATAATATTCATTTCCGTTGAAGTACTGTATTTTTAAACCATCAACTTATTTTCTTATATTATACAGATTATTGAAGAAATAGAGTTATTTTGTATGTTACCTCATCAACGAAGAAAAGAAAATTGGTTTCCATTTATTATGTAAGTTATTTAATTACATGTAAAAACAAACCGTTATTCCTAGTACTTATATTTTTTATATTTGAAGTTTTTATGAATGTCACTCCGTGACCATGTAAAGGATACTCAAGACGATAAATGGGAGGGTTATAGAAAACCTTTTCTTTCAATGAATCTTAAAAAGTTCTTAAGCTCCCTGAAGAAGAGCCTTCTCTTACAGAAATTAAGGATGAAATTAGGGATATTAAAGCGATTATTAAAGATCTGCCCACCCTTAAGGATCTTAAGGATCTAAAAGAATCATCGAAGATCTGAAAACAAATAAATAAAATTTCTATTTAAAATAATATAGGTAGTAATTGTTTGGTGAAAATTTAGCTATACGCAATTTAATATTTTCAAATTTATATTTGATATTACTATATAATTTGTCTATTGTCTAATGATTCAATTAGATACCCATTGGACCAATAGACTATCTATTGTGTCTATTGACTTGTCTCGCATGACAACGTTCAACACCCAAATCACAACACCTCGAATAACTAGCTACATCAAATATTAACTACAGCACACCTGTAAAAAAAAAAAAATTTTAACCATGTCCCAATCACAACAACCAAATGTTGCCTGTAAGCTCAACCACAGCACACGCGACACAACGTACAAAAAAAAAAAAAAAGTAAACCAAAAGAAAAAAAAACACAACCAACATAGGACAATGACAGAATTCCCAATATTCGAACATTGGAACAGTCTTCTGATTCTGCCATTTTCCTATTTAACAGCCGGCCTGCTTCGAGCAGGCGGAAACCACCGGCTGATGCTGCTTCTCGCTCGCTCTACTTCTCACTTATTCTACTGTTACGATGATACCTGGTGCAATTTAACTTGCTAATTTTCTGGGAGCATATCATCGTTTCCGTTCGATTTACTTAGCTAAAATTACTCATAATGTATTCTGCGGACTTCATGTCCTTTAATTGAATTTATTTCCGGCACCTTTGGCTAGCCGGCATTGATCCAAACATGACCAGTCATACCGATACTTTTCGATTCATTTATCGTATTTACGCATATTTTTTAAGAAATTTTCAATTTTGAAACTGAAAAGGATATACTATTGACTTTTAAAGATTTGCAAAAGGAAATTAATTACTTATCCTTTACTGATAACGGAGGTATCATAATGGTCAATACAAAGTATTACAGAGCATATATTTTTACAAGTGAAAATAATGTTAGTTTCGTTTGCAAATTATGTTTGAGTTGAAATATTTTAAAAAAATATAAAGGCAAATTAATTCTATTTAATTATATGATTTATGAGATCACGATGTGAGACATTGAAAAATTATTGATTAAAACTCGTATTTTAACAGATAAGAATTATACACTTAAATTTATTGAAATTACGCCAATACTGTATATTTCAGATTTTTTATCATATGGATATTTGGAATCTTTGAGTTTCAGAAGATCAATAAAAGGTATAATTCCAAAAAATTCTTTAGTAGTGGTTGCTATGCTGTTTAGGTTTTTAGAAAATCCAAAATTTCAATGCATATAATTAAATAAGATTAGATGCTTTACCAGATCGCGATGCGTGATATCTATTTCATGAAGACATTCCTTCAGCTATTTGCCTTGCCAATCTAATTTTTTCCAGCCATTCTAACTAATCATTTCGTAAGTACTCTCGTAAATTTCCATTATTTGCATATTCCATTACGAGATAATGTGTTTTCTCCGCCTTATCTTATAATAAAAGTTTTAAGGCTAGGTTTAGTTCAATTTAACTCATAATGCACAGTTATAGATAACTTACTAATACTGATCCCATAGAACTTAATGATTCGTTCATGATTTGATCTGCTGAGATGTTTTAGCTGAAAATACCATTATATTTTAGAAAGTAGATAAATTTAAATCTTATACAAACATTTAAATATATACCTCATTTATGAAAAGCTTCTGAGTCTTTTCATTTGTTACTGATTTTACTTCCTTAATGGCCAAGCAACCTAGTGAACTACATTTCACTCGATATACGATTCCAAAGCCCCCACGTCCTATTCTTTTCTTATTTTTCAAGATAACATAATGTATTTCCTTCAAATTATATTCTTAAATAATGCGACAAATCCAGTTATAATAGCTGTTTGGAAATAATTAGGGTTCTATTATTTCTACTTAATACGTGAATTTAAAATTGAACATAAAAGAACTTTATACTCACTTTCTTTTAAATTTAAAATTAATTTAATTATTAGTATTCTATCTAAATATATAAGTGAATTTTCATACTCACACCCTTTTAAATTAAATTATAATTTAATAAATCTTCTGTTTAAAATGTAGCGAAAATGAATTTATGCTTACGTCCTTTAAAAGTAATAGGCACTTATTTTAATGATAAATTCCTATTAAAAATGATTAGAGGAGAATTTATGCTCACCCACCTTTTAATTATTTGATATTGAGTAGACAATTATTTAATGCTGTCTTCTACTTGAAAAATGGAAATGGGATAAGTTAAGTATAGCACACCGCCTAATTGTAACTTTGCAAATTTTAATAATATTTAACGACCATATTTCTGAATCATCAAATGCAAATAGTGAATATCATTCAATACTTCAGCATATCTAGTGATCCATCAATCGAAACTGTACAATTTTATCGCTTTACACAATTCAATTTTGATATCTACACATGGTACAGTTACAGTACTGTATTTAAAAAATAATTTAATTGCCAAAATAAATTGTGGGTCATGTGATCACATGATGTTAAATTTATGTAACCCAGCACATGTTACAGTAGTGGGTGTCGCGGATTATGGTAAATCGGATATCTAGGGACTTAATTTAAAAATATAAGCCTCACAATCCTAACAAAACCTATTTATACTCTTTTATTATAAACCCTAACCCTAATACTAGTCTGGATTCAAAAAAAAGCCTAAAAAAATATACTCTAAAAAATTTTAAAAATGGAACTAGGCGCTTGAGTTGTTTAAAGGGAGTTAGAGATGAGTGTACTATATCTGATATTGTATTATACAGTGCAAGGACTTCATATTGTGATTAGGCTCCATGGCTGCAATAGCAGTGCAAGGACCTCATGTGTATAGTTGCTGTCCAAACCTAATTGGTTTGGAACTTTGGGACTGTCTAGGATATTAACCACTATTTGAGCTAGTTAAAGCCGTGGAACTTGTCCAAAACTTACTGTATGAATTGGGATTTGGGACAAAATTTCAGATATATCCAACTATACTCATGTGATTAGACACTATGGCTGCTGCAGGTAATGCGAGAACCTCATGTTTGGTGATTGAGCCCCCTATAAAAAAAAAGTTCCAATTTTTATTACGGAAAATACTCATTATTTAAAATAATAATCTGAACAAAAAATCTAAATAGAATTTTAACTTTTTTTTATAGGATTCACAACTATAATAGCAGTACAAGGGTCTCACATTGCAATTAGGTTCTGCGGCTGTGGTAGCAATGCAAGGACCTCATAGTGTGATTAGGTTCTATCGCTGCTAGGGATGGGTTTAGTTACAAACGGCTATGATTATTTATAGTCAATTTTCAAATATTGAGTGTTTTTTTTTTTTTTTGAGCTTTTAATTAAAGTTGTTTGGAATTAAATTCTGTTCATCCCATCTTATAAGTGGAAAGAATAAAACTTTCTCTTAAACTAAGAATTTTAAATTTGTTAATGCCATAACCGATTAATAACTGGCGGCTAATAACCAGTTATAACATTAACAAAATTTAAATTCTGTTTCAGAGAAGGTATCATTCTTTCCACTTATGAGATGAATAGAATTTAATTCTGAAGAACTTTAATTAAAAGCTCAAATAGAAAAATCATTTCAGTATTTAGAAAATCGACTATGAATAATCATAGCAACCGAACACATACCTAATGGCCACTACAGGCAGTGAAGAATCTCATGTTTGGTGATAAAGCACCACTACTACAATAGCAGTACAAGGACTTTATATTGTGATTAGGCTCCATGGCTACTATAGCAATTCAAGGACCCATGTTGTGATTAGGCTCTATGGCTGCCGCAGGATGTAAGGATCTCATGTTTAGTATTAAGCACCATAACTTCAATGGCAGTGCAAGGATCTCATGCTGTGATTAGGCTCCATGGCTACAATAGTATGCAAGAACTTTACATTGTAATTAGGCTCTATGGCTGCCGTAAGCAGTGCAAGAATATCATGTTTGGTGATAGCAGTGCAAGGACTCATGTTTGATTATGTTCTGTGGCTGCAAAGACCTCATGTTGTGATTAGACTCTATAGCTGCAGTGGGCAGAGCAAGATCTTATGCTTGACAATTAAGCTCTACAACTATGATAGCATGCAAGAATCTCACATTGTGATTAGGCTCTGTGGATGCAATGGATGTGATAGCAATGCAAGGATCTTATGTGATTTGGCTCTATGGCTATCATGAGTAGTAATGAACCTCATGCTTGGTAATTAAGCACTGTAATTATGATAGCAGTGTAAGAACCTCATGTTATAATTAGGCTCCATGGCTGTCACAAGCAGTGCAAGACCCTTATGTTTGGTAATTAAGCTTTGCAACTATGATAATAGTGCATAGTGTGAAAGAGCTGATTGTAAATTTTTAATTCATTGGTGGGTCAGATACATACTAGTTTGGAGGAATTGGTATATTTATGAATAGATTGATCAATGCTGAGGTGGCTTAGGTTGATTTTTACTACTTTACCCACATTTAGTTAGCATTAGTATAGTGTACTTATTCTCTTTCCATTACTTATATTATTAGTGACATAAGTGCTACTAATTCCACAAATGATACTTAGCCTCTTAATGACATCTTAATAAATGGCACTTCTTCCATAAATGTCACTAATGACACTAATGTCAGGGATGGTAAATGACCTGAAATGACCCAAATGACCCAAATGACAAATGACCAGTCATTGGGTCATTTCAAATTC